ACAAAGTAAAGCAAAAAAGGAAAGGAGCAAGTACACCGAAGAGGGAGTGCCTGAAAGCCCGGGATGCCCGCCCGCGTACAAGCAGAGCAGCAGAGAGGCTGTGAACGGGAAAGCCACAAAATACCGTGTGTGAACATGCTCACGTGGATCTGCACGCTGGAGGCTGGCAGCAACGCATTTGCAGGAAGAATTGTTTCAATAGGACGAGAAGTTACCACAAGAAGTTGTCCAGAGCGAGAGAACCATGACGCAGCAAAGGACAAAGTGGTAGACATCTAATCAAGCTTTATGGAATTTGGGGCTGTCCATTCAGCCCCAGCACTAAATAGCCTCATCCCAATCAACACTGCTATTTTTAGTTTTCTAAATAATCCTACCCTTTACAAAGGAAAAAAAAAAAATATATATCTCCTCCATTTCTTCTCACCAAGCTCAAGATCTTTCTCCAACCAGACAAGGAGTTAATGAATCTCCGTCCGCTGTTCCACTCTCCAGGCACACAGCAAAAATCTCTGCTGGCCTCAGAGTAGGAATAAGCAGCCTGTTGATCCCCATCTTCTCATTGCTGCCAGCAATTATCACAAAATGACTTTATTGCACATGTGACAGTTGGTGACACTGACTCGGGGAGTTTTATCAGCTTCTGCGCTACAGGTTTCGAAACACCTGCTTGTGTGAAGGCACCCTGCTGTCCGCCAGCCCAAGCGAGCTGGGCTTCTGCAAAGCAGCAAGAAGAAACTGCAGCCCTTTGTGCAAGACAGAGCATCGCACATGGGCGTCCCGTCCCTGCCTTGGCAGCTCAGGCCCGTTAATGGCCACGTCCCAAGCAAAGCACTCCGCGGGGCAGGACCAGGGCAGGCGCCGGGCAGGAGGGAGCGGCGCAGCAGGCACCAGCGCACGAGCACGCTGCCCGGGGCTGGAGCAGGACTGCCAGAGGATGGAGCTGGCCCACACGCAGAACGTAGAAAAGCAAAGGGAGGAAACCAAAACATGCTTTAGTAAGAGATGCAGCTCAGCTGCATAGGTTTAAAAGATATCCACAAATACACTCTCTCTGGGGATACAAAAGATGCAGAGGTTAGAAGAAAAGGCTAACGAGTTGTGCTCACCTACAGTCTTTCATCCAGCCCCAAATGGTACTTGGACAGAGGAAAGCATCGGCAGCAAAGCTCTTCGCTACAGCAGTTGTAGTATTCGCACCATCTCCCTGAGGACTCCCTGGGCACAGCATAATTTCCTATAACCCTCTATCACCTGTATTTTAGCACCGAATCTTTCGGCGAGTAACAGAAACGCACGGCGACTTCGGGGGGTTTGTGTGGAAATGTCTATTCCACCCTGCGAGGCTCTGACAGAGGGACGGAAAGGTTTGATCCTTGCATTTTGATCACTGCTCCGGGCAGTTACTCGGAAGTATGTACCGCTTCTTAAGACATCTTCAAAATTATATTAGTTCTTACTACAGCAATATCGCAGACCTTCAATTCAAAGGTAAGGTTTGTGTGGGTGTAAATTCCAACAGACTTTGTATCAGCAGCTTCTTCCCACAAGTATGATTCCTCAGATTATCTCAAGGAAAACTATTAAGCTGCAAAAGACTGGAAGTTGGAGATTTCTTTCACATAATCTGCAGCATTAGCCTCATACTGCAACAATTGGAGAGGAGTTTGTAAAAGTATCGGGGCTCAGGATGGGAAATGAAGGCGTTTAAATGAAGGCTTAGGAAGATGCTGTTTTAAGAGGTTCAATGTCAGCCCGACCTCCAAGGGCTAGAAGGAAAGGCTACCGGCAGGCTACGAAGCAGACTCCACAAAGGAAGTAGCAGTAGCAAACGGGTGATTTAAAAGATAAAGGATTTTAGAACCACCTCTGGCTATTTAGCAACGATGGTTCTCATGAACGAGCCAGCTAGAGCAAATCCCGGATCTTGGACAAAAATGCATTGTAAGCCTGGTTCTTAATTTTGGGAAGGGGTGCAATGACAGACCTCTTCTCCTGCATGGTTAACAGAGAGGAAGGAAAAGACCCCGTTCTTCTTAATCAGTGTCAGCTTCTCTTGGCTGTTTTATCAGTCAGCTTTACCAACCAGATCTGGGAGCCACCTTCTCCTGCAGTACAAAAGACTTTAAACTTAGAAATGAAGAGACTTCAACCCCCCAAAAAGTGTAATTCTGAAGTGCTCAACAGCCTTTAATTCATTATGAACCTAGAGGCAGAGAAAAAAATATGCAAAAAATACATCACATCCTTAATCTAGGGGGAGAAAAAAAAAAATCATTATTTTTATAGCACATAATCAGACACTTACAAATATATTTCACTGGAGGAAGGGGAGGGTAGGAATGTGCATTTCCTATTTCCTTTTCAATAGTCTGATGCACAGAGGCCATCAATATGGTCATTATAGATAATCTGCACAAGTCATTCCTAAACCAAAAAGAGGGATTTAAAAATAAACAAAAAAGGAGAACTCCTGCAACAAGGAAGGGCATTCTACAGTTCCAGGTTCACGTTTAAACATAACTCATCATCTGAATATGGGGTGAGGAAACACACTTTGTTTTTACAATATAAATAGTATTTTAAAAAGGTACTACATATGAATACAGTAATGGTGCTATTTCAGTCAGGACTTCAACATGCAGAGGAAATCCCCATTGCTCACAACCACTCATCCCATCCCACCCTTCCCCTCCCACCTCCAAAAAAAAATCCTCTGCTGCTTAAATTCTCTTTCAATTGCTTTAAATATTTCTCTTGTGGCCTGGCAACATTCTTATTCTTTTATACAAGCAAGTTTTCTACAAAACCATGTCTTAACCGACAGGAGACAGCTATGTAGGAGTAACAACCGAGGCTTTTAAGAACCTTGCCAATTTTTAAAACTTTTATTAGTCTCAGTTTGTTTTTATTCTTGGAGACATCTATCGAAAACGTCGAAAACTCAGAAATAAAAAAACCCTGTTTGAAACGTCTTACAAACACGCACGCGTGCACACGCGCGCAGACACGCACACACAAAGAAAATAACCCGTAGCAGAGGCAGTAAGAAATAAAGGGAACTCCAATTCTCTCAAGGGAGAACAAAAATCAAAATAAAAAAAAATTGCTTTATTCTATCTCCACTCTTTCACTAGGACAGTTTAATACCCATCGAGTCTCTTAAGACGCTAATCTACCATCTGCTAGCCCACAAATCCTTCCCACTTATTCCCTTAAAGATCCAGCTACAGCGTTGCTTAAAAACCTCTCCACAGGACAATGAGCACCTTGCAAAAGGGCTTTAAAAAAAAAAAAAAAAAGAAGAAAGACTATCGTGTCTCTCTGTCCAGTAATTTCAGGGAATTAAGTGGAAAAGATTGCTGGCAGAGTTGTGGATAGCGCTGCTGTCACGGCGGCTGCTGGCCGGCCCAGGCATCGCGGCACCGCGCGCCCTTGCCCCTTCACCCACGGCCCCTTCCCAGCTCTGCTCCAGGGCTGCCGCTTGCTTTGCCTCTGAACGGACAGGCCCTCCAGCGTGAGTGGAAGACTTCCCAGCGCCTTCAGCAGGGTTTGGGATCACGCGCTTTTACAAAACACTGCTCCGTAACAGCTCTTTGAGCGGAGGTGATTTTCAAGTGTTCAAGCGGGAGCTGCCCACTCAATACTTCAGGATTTGTTTTTGCCTTTAACGCTCGTTCAATTCTCAGTGAACTGAGTCCAATCAAATGAAGGGCTTGCATTCCTCTTCCCCAGGAGTATCTCACAGGCTCAGTCTTTACTTAAGTAAAGGATGTCACAACAATCAAAGACGTTTGGGGAATTTCTTCTTTAATAGGATTAAAGAAAAACATACAAACACCTCCCAGGCTTCTGTCATGGAATGATTCTCACAACTGTAAGGAGCACAACTCAAAAAAAAAAAACAAAACCCCCAAAAAAACAAACCCAAAAAACCCCAACAAAAAAAGGAGACAAAGAAAAGAAAAAGGTTCCTATGGGAGACATGCCTACCAGAGAGCTAGAACAATCCCTCGATGCTCTAGTCTGCAGCGGGGAAGGGGGATGGCTCGTAAAGGAACTAACACAAGAAGCAGCAACAGAACACTTGCCAGAACCGAGTGGCATATCGTAACTGAAAGCCATGCTGATTTTTAACTAGAAAGCAACTGTGATGGCAAAGATGGGGAAGGGCGATAACAAGAATGACCAAAACCTGGCCATTTCTTCCCTAAGTCCCTTCCTGGTGACGTGGCAGAAATGCACGTATCTATCACATGTCTTTAAGAGAACTAACGGTAAGAAACATCCCAGCTATGAAACATTTCTTTCCCCATCTTCCCCAGCTTACAAAGAAGATAGTGTTTCTTTACAAAAAAGAACCCAGAACTTTCCAGGACATCTGCTCTTGCTCTCTCTCTCTCCCCGCTGTAGTATTAGTCACATTTCATTTGGGGGTGAAGGGGAGGATTTTGTTTATTTTCTGTTTTAAAGCCATAATCTAGAAAAATGTTTTGTGGAAATGTTTGTTTTCCTATTTTTGTTTGCTTTTTTTTTTTTAATAAGCTCATTTATAGAAAACTTCACAAAGTTGACGTCTATGTACAGAAAACACAATTCCAAAGGCTGCTTCAGTAGTCAATGTAATAGCACCTTTAAAGACAAAAGAGTTTGACATATTTTTAAAAAGTCATTTTGTCAAATTTTAACCCTTTCCAAGCCTCATAAAAAGGAGCCAGTCACAAAGCTCCGTTAGTACTAACTCTTCCAAAGTCTCCGTGTGAAATGCTGTCTTGACGGTTTTTCAAGCTCCCTATTCTACTGGTCAGCAATGTCTGGCAAAGTAGAGGTAGCGTGCAGCCAGACGGGATTTTCTTGCCGTCCAAACCAAGAGTAGATGAAAGGAATTCACAGCAGGCTATTGCACAAGGATGGTCTTCTATTCCACAGTTTCCTGGTTATTTTTCCACAGGCTTGAAAAGGGTTAACTTAATATTCTTAATTAATCCTGGTTAAAACAGGTTGCTCTGAGTTCCAGGCTGGTACTGTGTCTGCAACAGGCTCTCCATAAAGGCCAAGTAATCTGGGTTTTGTCCGTATTCTTCGGGATTTCTTGAATTCCCCAGCCGGGGGCGCTTGGCTGCTCTCACTTCATCTCCCGAAAATACATCTTCCTGAGGGGCCCCAGTGCTGAGGGACTGCAGGAGACAGGAAAGTACAATCATTAGAGGCACAGCAGGAAAACAGGGAGAGACACGGGTGAAAACCATGGAGCACGCCTGCGTAACAAGACAGCAGGGATAGCAAGTGAACAATTTGGTTCAGAGTATTTCTGTAGAAGAAAATTAACTCTGAAACATGCAAAGCACATAGCTGAAATTAAAAATTCTGGGCTTCTGAAACCAAACTGGAGAAACCCTCGAGTTGCCTTCCTTCTGTTTCAGACTATCTTTCTCTTCAGCTCCTGCCTTGCCAGTTCTCTGTTTGCTCCTATCCTCCTCTGCCTCTTCAGGTTACTTCATTCCCAGTAGAAGGCACAGAGGAAATTGGGGTTTCCCTAATGTCTTTAAAAAAAAAAAAAAAAAGACCCAAAGAAAGCATTTGGGCATCACTGTACAAACAATTGCTTCTGTTCGTCCTGCTCTTACACTCTCAAATGAGATGCATTTCTTGGTAGAAATTATTATCTCCTATCGTTTTGCGCCTTTGTTCTGCTGTTCTGCGTGAAAGCACTGTGAGCATCACTTCCACAGAGCACAGTCTAACACTTCTGGCAGCAGAAAGTACATGACAGAAGCCATAGCTTTCAGCCAGACTCAAAACCTTCTATTCACTGTCCAACTTGCATTCCTTTCCCTGGAACTGTTATAAAGTCTGATGTCTCCACTGCAGAGAATATGTTTCTTTCCAAATCCTGGATTTCAGGGCTCCAATATGTTGTCTTTATTATTATACAAGCTTAAATAACCTGGCATATTGTGCACATCTTAGAAATTAATTCTGATCATCTTTGCCACCTTCTGATCTTTCAAGGATAACAAGGTAAATTATTATTAACCTCTAAAATTTATGCCATGAGGTCTTAGTGAGATAAATAACTTCAAACAAGATGGAGAAGCCATCCAGAGCTACATTACAGAAAGCATTTTACAAGGGTTTTTTAGGTAAAACCCTTGAAGATTTCATGCACAAGCAAACAAAAGTTTCCTCAGAACTGTCATCAGTTCTTCCACAGAACTGCCCGTCGCCAGGCCATTTCTGACCATGCGCATCTCACACTTCTGCTGGTGGCCATGGATTCACAGGGTCAGCGAATCACCGGTTTAACTTGGCACAGCAGTTCCTAAGGCAATATCTTTGTCTCCTAGAAGAGACAGAAGCCCACAACCTTATCACAGGTGAACTTTGTGGATCCGTCCCTGTCCTGCAGTGGCCGACATAACAGATATTTAGAATGAAGAAGAAAACTGTATATTCTCCATTTGCACGGAAACCAGTCTCACCATTTGTTTAAATGGAATGGCTTTAAAGGTGAAAGCACCGGGTTTGAAACACCCAGGAAGTCTGGAACCAAAAAAGCTATTTAGTAAATGCCTCATATCTTCTAGGCTCAATAATTCCATTACATGCAGTTAAAGACAGCCTGATCTTTTAGATTAAGAGCTTTATAGGTACGAGCTATGGTCTAAATCTCCTATTTGGTGAGAAACACAGGTTTGGTCCCATGTCACTAATCAGTTCTCCAGAAACCACTTCGCTGTAGACGAATGCACCTCACTTCTGATGAAAGTGAGACAGAATGTCCAGAAAGACCGGCAGTCCACGTAACTGAATTCATATGGTGTAAAATGATATGAACGTAATCTTTTAACCAGAGAGAAAACAAAAATCAGATCTGAACATGTGAAAGGGAAAAATCATTTAAATGCTTCTCAAGCATTTACATCAAGGATTTCTTCTACTCTACATATTTTGTGAATGACAAGTGGTTTTACAGCCACAGAAATTGGAGGCTGCATTCACCTAATGTCTAAACAATACGCTAAGAAAATGTGAATGACTACTGCAAGTCACAGCCATTCTACTCTTTCTGCAATTTTGATACCCACCAGGCGAGACTTCACTCTCTTGGGAAGCTCCTCCTCCAAGGTATAAATATCACCACGCTTTACCATTAGTTGGGAACCGTCTTCGAACTCGACCTGTAGAGTGGGCAGAAGATGAAATAAGAACTTGGCCTCTACGTTTACAGTACCGCAGTCCATTCCCAGACTGCCACATACAGCCCCGCCACAGGAATACCAAGGAAGCACCAGGGGCCAGCTCCCATGGATGATCCCGTTCTTGGCACTGCGTGTCTCTAGGATTGCTGTAGAGTGAGCATCCCTCAGCTGTGTTAAGGATGCTCAACCCAAAAAGTGCTGGTTCCAGTGCTGCTCAGGCACCCTGTCTTATCTGGCCCAAGTGGTTTCATTCAGTGCTCCTGTGGAACCTAAAATGTCCATACTACAGCTGGATCAGCACCTCTGCTCCCTCCTCCCAGTCAGAGCACTAGACACTGACACTGATTTTTGATTCAAATCCTAAGAAAAGCAGCTTTTCAGTTACAATAAAAGGCAGCGCTGTATTCAGGCAATATGGTAATAAGAATTTCTTTCATCTTAAACAAAGCGTTTTCACACGTCATAAGGAAAGAACTCCAGCTACTGAAATATATTGTATTTTAACAAGCAGAAATAGTCAGCCAGGTACAAAAAACGGTGGTACCTCCTCACGTCAAACCCTTTTTGCTAAGCACTGATTATCTCATGAATTATGCATCAGATGTTACAGGAACGTTTATTCATGGAAACGTGCATATAAAAATGTTAAAACTATTAAAAGTTTTTAAGAGATTCTCATTTCCTTTGCTCAAGACTTACTACGCTTTTCTGGCTAATGCAGAAGGACATACACCACCGCTTAATACGGGATGTCAGGTTCAGACTGGACAAATTCGGAAGGAAGCGAGCATCTCTGCTCGCGCCCCATGCCCCGCGCCGCCCATGCAGCTCCTCAGGTACGCAAGCTCAGCGATGGCTGCCGAGGTCCCTGCGCAGCACGCATCCGCTGGGAGAAGGGGCTTCGGAAGGTGGGCTCTGCCGAGCCCCGCTGAGGCGGTGGGGTGCTGCTGCTCCCAATGACTCCGGTTTTACAGAGCACCACAACCAACAGCCAGAAGGGACCACGGATTACGAAGCTTAACAGCAGAGGCACAAGCAGATTGCTGTCTGCCATTTCCACTCCACGGGCTCAACTTCTAGTAGGAAGGCAGGGTTTGCGACTGAGGGCAGTGCCATCTTAAACTATCACGGAGCAGTTGGACCTTGTTTATTTAAGTGCCAAATTACTGATATGGGTTAGACCCTCGTTACGAACACACATCAGAGCAAGTTACAAGACAGTCATTTGGGCTCCGTTTTTTAAAAAAATACACACATCTAATCTTAGCACACAAAATACAGACTTGGAGATGTGAGCTGGGAAGCTACTGCAAAATAAGACAAATTTAAAATGCAAAAGCTAATCCAAGCTGTCTTGCTATGAACACGCTTATTTCCTAACAGAACTGTTTCTGTGTTTTTAAATATAATCCTATTCCAAAACAGATAAAAGAAACGCGCCATAAGTACTGAAAAAGTATCCACATAGAGAACCAATGCAGAAAGCTGCTCAGGCTATTTTCCCCATGGAGAAGAGCTTTACTTATTGGTAACTGCATGATTTGAAAAACACAGGCTCCTCGTGCATATTTTTCTGTCATCTGGCACTATCAGTGGAATAGCCTATTTCAAATTATTGTACCTTTGAGAAATCAATGACAATTTCCTATACTGTGATTAAACTGGCAAGCATGCATAACGATAGATCTTTCTGGAACTATATATTGTACTTATTCAAACCAGGATCACCTCAGATCACACGTCCTCTGAAGCAGTTAACATCCATTACACACACCAAAAAGACTGTTAACTGACAAGGCGGGTTATTGCGCTCTTCGCACACAGATACGAAACAACTCTGTGCAGAAAGGACAGAAATCAGAACCCCATTTCAGACAAATACAAGATATGGGACTTCCTTTGCCTTTTGTCCAGGGGCATTAATCTCTTAAAAATAACAATTATTTGCAAATTTCAGCATATATTTTTTCAAAAGGATGTGTACAAAGTGTACTTTCCAAATCACTACAATTTTCAACTTCTTGGTACCATTTAAGGAGGGTTTAATCAAATGAACGTACTGCCTTTTATAAAGCCCTCTGTGCTGAAATACTAACACTACGTACCAGGTTAAATCTTCCTTTACTGACTGTTACAACCTTCCACCAACAAAAATCCCATATGTGGAACAGACTCAGAGTCAAAAAAAACCTGGCTGCTGTTTTTCTCGCCTTAAAAACAGAGATGGCGAGACCGCATGAGACTGGAGATTGAGGTTTCTAATTCCTCACACAGCAGCAGCAGGACATTATTCCCACATGCTGCTGCTGCTCCACAAAGTACCCTCCCGTGACCAGAGGATTATTCCCCGCCTTGAAGCAGTCTCCTGACCCATCGTTTCCCTTACTTCCTCTCAAAGCGTCGAGGAAGGTTGTGATTATGTAGATACTGTCTCATGGGGAACTACAGACGCCGAGCTCAGCTCCAGCCATGGGACAGCCTCCAGAGATTAGTTCCATTAGGTCACTTTTGACCCGGGTCAGACCTGAGCTATAAGAAGGGCAAATTTATTTTATATTTTAAAAGCAGATACAGTCTAGACATACGTCTATCCGTACATCCACATTCTGCCACAGCAAACCTTTACCCTGATCCTACTTTAACACTATATTTCTCTTTAGACTACCAGCAGTATTAATTTCAGAAGGCAAATTCTCCCTTCACGACCAGAGCAAGCGCTCAACACTAGTGAGCTACACAATCTGAGCAACGATCAGACACGTTGACATGAAGTACGTGGGTACTCTTCCACACTCACCTGGTAAATCTGACTGATCTGGGCTGCAATAAACTTGGCCTTATAGATGATTCCATCTGTCCACTGCAGCTGAACCAATTCACCCTCTGGAGGGGGTCCCATTTGGAGGCAGTCTCTGCTCTGAAGACATAGAGTGGAAGAGGTCAGACAGCCAACACCAACAAAGCTCAAGAACTAGGTGAAGAGGTTGTTAAAATCACCACTCAAGGAAGTTGCTACATAACACTATAATTAAGTATAAGACAGTTTCTGCACTTGTGATTAATTGCAGTCATCTCAGACAAAACCATTAACCAGTGAGAGACCAGAAATAAACACTTGCAGCTCCTTCTGGTGACAGTACTCAGTTCTAGGAAACTTCGCATTACAAATCCCTAAACATCAGATCTCCTGTATCAACAAAAACAAGCAGGGTGACCTGCTCTGTTTCACATGGTGAATCAAGGCACAATCAGGAAGAGAACGCATGAGCTGACAAGTCAGCCTCTTCTAGACATTCCTTCTATTAAGTGAATTCCCTGTTTTGAACCAGAAGTGCTTACAGACAATCTGCTTCCCCCATGAATCACACTTGTCAGTTGAAAAATAAGAGATTGTTCAACCACAAAACAAATACGATGCAACTTAAAACAAACATTGCTTTCTGTTAAGTCATCTGCATATCGCAAAATCACATCTTTGTAAAGGAACAAAAAAACTGAAATGAGATAATGTTGTAAACAAGAAGAACAGTAATGAAGAGCAGTATGAGTTTTTCTATGCAAGCAGCAACTTTACTTTTTAATTCTTTTTTTTTTTTTTTTTTTAAAGTTTTACTTCGTTGTTCCACCCCAAAGCGCATAGAAGAGGAATGCAGGCATTACACTTTGTACTCATCTATAACGGTAATAGTCTCCACAGAGAGCTGCTTACAATAATGCTTTCTGGGTAAACGTTGTCACTGTATGAACCGTCATCAAAGTTTACTTCATAGAAAGTCTGTGTTGTCATGCCAATCACTTTACATCTGTAGTAGAGTCCATTCCGGTTCTTTGTGATCACAGTCTGCCCAAGGGTCACTTCCCTTCGAAACTGAATCTGTGTTATAGAGAAAAAGGAGTAATTTGCAATTTGCAGTCATAAAAGCTGTGTCAAAAATATAGGCGCAGAGAACTGTTCAACAACAACAACAAAAACAAACCCCAAAAGCCCCAACCACCGCCCAAACCCAACCCAACCCAACCCAAACCCCCAGACCAAACCACATACATTCTGGTTAGCTGCTTTGTGTTTGAAGCAAGTGATGGACACAACGTAGGGCCAGTCGTCTGGCTCCATGGGCACGCCAGCTGCGTGCGCGCAGGTCACGTGGAAGGATGTGGAGCAGTGCTCATACGAGCACTGGATGCAGGCACCAGACACTTTCTTCATCCGTTTCCGACAGTACACGCATTTCTGAAAAGAAACACAGGTCAGCGTTATGCAGGCAGTCAACAGCAGCTTTAACGCAACACATGGCACCCTGCTACTTGACATGGTGGAAAAGTTCGTATCATTGGTGTCTAGGGCCCAGAAGCCACAGCCAAAAACAGTGACGTTTGCTGCTGAGAGGTCAAGTCCAACACTTCCAGAATTGCCTATAAGCGCTTGCCTAGAATCACTCGTAAGCCAGGAAACTCCAGCAGATACTGACTTATCATTCCCTTGCGCACGACGACACCTACCAGTAACTCAGCCCTCCAGAACCACGCTGGACGGTGAAGCAGACTTAAATCCAATTTGAGACTATGTTCACTGGAGGGCTGAGAGAAAGGGAGGGCAAACCAGGCAAACACACATCAGCGCTATCAGAGAACCGCGACGGCTCAATACTCATCCTCCTTAGATATATGGAATGCACCTCTGTTAGTTCAAACAGCAGCTGGATCTTCACAGACACGCTGCTAGAAGATAATGTTTCTGGTTTTTTGAAAGAACAGAACACAGAATAACTGTGTAATAATTTGTTCTATTATATTTAATGGAACATTATACCTATTAGATCTACTAGAATATAATTTTATATAATGGAACAATAAAATTGTATGTTTATTTTACGCACATAAACTACATGTGTACTGTAAATATTTTATTGGTATCCATGTCAGGTTAGCTATTGTAGATAATTCAGTCACTGTTTTGCAAACAGAAGAACTAAAACCATTGTACCAAACACCAGAATTACAGGGGGGGAAAAGGTATGAAATCTTTCAGTATTTTTTAAACTCATTTTCTGCAAAGCAGATCCAGTTATTAGGCTAAGCTAATCAGACAGCACTTGGTGGGGACAGGTAATCAACTTAGGATGTGTGACTACTTTAAAAAGAAATCTAAATTTCTCCAAAGCTAAAAATCATAAGCCTATGGCACTGTAGACTTGGCAGCAAGCATTAGGTGTCAGTGGGAAGCAAGATACATTTCCTCATTCCCTAACACCACCAGATTCCTGTTTCCAGCCCCTCAGAAATACAGGAGACCAGGTTTTGGGAATCCCAATCTAAAGAAATTTAAGTTGGACGCTTGTGTAATGTTTCCAGGGAACTATTTGGAAACACCATTCTTTGCTTTTAACATTTTAAGTCTAGGGAATCTGTCACTGATCAATGGCAGCTTCTTTACTGTAGCTGAGGCTTGGACAAGGCAAACCAGGCAAAAATTAGCATCACACCCATGAGACGAACGTGCGTTTTACTTGTTAGAATGAACGGCTCGTATAAATAAAATCCTGAGAGATATTATACGCCCATGAATCTGACTACACAGCTATGTAATTTATTTATTACAAAGAAATAATTTCCACATATAAGGAGGAACAGAGGCAAGCAGTAATTTTTAGTGTGCATTTCAGATGACCGTCTCCAAAGCACATTGCACCGGTTTGCTCCAGCCACTGCCCCCCAGGTCTGACCGCCTGCCTCCCTCCCAATCCATCATCAAAACATAAATGTCCTATAAACATACTAGGATACTATGAATGACGGATTCTTTTTCTCTCTGCAGCGTCTGATATTAAACAGAGCCTTTTTTTTCCCTCTTTCACTTTTCATGGCCTCTCGTTTACCTCACTCCCACTAAAGCAGTGCTCAAAGTATGCAACATTACAGAACACACGGCCTAAATTTTAAGATCCGTATGAATTACTACATCCCATGGGATTAGAAATGGAATGTAAGCTGCCTGATGTCGCACAATAAGCCAATACAACCCCCAGAAGTACAAATCCACTCCGCTTCTAGGTCTGAGCTAACTTGAAAGAGTACCCTCAAAAATAGTAACAGTGGTATCGTATCATAAACTGTCCAAGTAAATGCAAAATAAGAATTGCCAAATTTCAATGTTATGTTTTATTTGTGTTATCATAGCTAAGAGCCAGGGCCCCACCTGCGCTAGCTACAACACATTGCCAAGACAAATAAAAGAGCACTCCTTCTCCAAAGAGTCTTCTCTCTTCCTTGAAAGCAAGACATGCGAAAAAAAGGGAGATGCATTCTCCCCAATTTCTGTGCAACATCACGCCTCTCTGACGGGGGTCTGCCCCACACGTATATGAAATAAGTCAAGTTCACTTCCTGTGAATTAACTGAAGTCAGTATGTTTACACCAAAGATTAATTTGGCCTTTTTACTTAAACTAACAAAAGCCAGGAAATTCAAAGCCGGAGCCTTAGCGTTGCCAGAATGTGGTTTTAGTATTTAATAAGCTATGCCTTTATTGCTCTGTAAACCATGTTCAAAAGCTAGATAAGCACCACAGCAAAGTGCGCAGCAGGAACACAGCACTGAAAGCAAGTCAATAGCAACGAGATCTCATTATTAAACTGTCAATACCCAATTCTGCCGCCAGCAGGGACAACTGCTGATATACAGTGTGCTCAATACTGCCTCTCACGGGAGCATTAACCCTCCAGGATCAGGAATCTGCCTTTACCGATGCGAACAGGATTCTTCCAAGCCAGAAGGATTAGCACGCACCTAATGACGCCCCAGTGGCAAGACAAACTCCTTGTGATAAGCAGAAGAGCTACACCAATGGAATATTCTGAGCAAATACGATCAAAGGATAAAGAAAAATGTGAGCTACAGTGAGACTGCAATGTAGAAGATGGTGGAAGGAGCGAAAACGTAGAAGATCTGGAAGTGTGGGAGATGGGACGGACAGAAGCACTGGTGCCCAGTGCTGAGATAAAGCAGCACGTGTAGATTCAAAGACATTTTCTGTGGGAGGGGAGGTAGCAGGAAGAGAGGAGGTCTAAAGCACAGGAGAAAAATCTTGAAAATAAATGCACACTGGAGAGTTGGGTCATAGCTGAGAGTAAGAAATGGGCTGTCTCCTGCATGATGAACACTGCAATTCATTTACTCCATTGAGGAATGACAGCTAATTATTCCAAATTTCCACGTCATAAATAATTTACGCGCACAGGCCCATAATACACCATTAATCAGGAAGCATGCAAACTGCACTCTTTAAAATGATGCAATACCTACAACTGGATTGAAAAGTCTGTGCTTGAAAGGGAAGGCCTGGTGCACGCTCAAAGAACAAGAGATACTCTTTAAACAGATCGCTGCAACTGCTTGTTAACGCAGCCCTCCCACAGTAACTTAAACAATACAAACATATTAAAAAAAAAAACAAAAAACACCACAGATAACCCCTACCCCCCTCTTTCCTTCATTACCTTCATCCATTCACTTCAACTGTCCTCAGCCTTCATATCATTCCTTCTCTCCTTTTCCATCTTTTTCAGCAACAAAGGCCATCTCTCCAATTTTATCCATACTGCATCAACTCCGTCATTGCCCAAGTCATCAGATCCAACACCACCACCTTTTAGTCACCTTCACTTTATCTTCCTAAATGCAGCTGCACACCTCCAAAAAAGACACCCCCCAACTCCTCCATTGACTCCCCATGTATTCCATGAATTACCTGCAAATTCCTATAAAGAATCCTACAGGTCTCTACAATGGCTCCTAGGTGTTTCTTCACACAGTCTTAGCCAATATAAATTTCTTTTGTACTTCTTCACACGCTGCACCAATGCTGCTGCTATAAGCACCACTGCCTTTACATTCTGCCATCCAAATTAATTTTTTTTTAATCTTTACCTAGCTCATATCTCTAAAACCCATTTCAATTTTAGCTCAAGATAATTTATTTGCTTTCTTTCCTGTAGCAAACGACACTCATAAAGCCACAATGTATGTGGTGACACCACCAACTGTTTTCAGCAGACAGTGATGGTGCGTGCATACATACTCTAAAGGCGTTCACAAGTATAGACCAACAGAGCAGAAAGATTTTTATAATCAGTCTAAACACAACAATAGTTACCTGGTGACATTCTTGAACAGTGAGTAATTAGGCTGAAAGTCTGCTTCTTGCATCCTAACAGTGGGGCTAGCTGTATAGGGGCACCAGACATCTTACAGAGGGATCACACTGGCATGCTGACAGAAGCTCAAGACCAAGACCTGAACCTGTGCCCAAAGCTACCTGGACCAGCCAACATGCCCTGCTGGCAGAGTCACGACAGACCCTGGCAGAAATAAAACAGCGTTACGCCCCTAGAAAAGTTACTCTGATTGTGATGAAGCAGTGTGTAGCACCATCCATGCTAACACTTTCCAAGTGAAGTGCTTAAAGCCAGGCTTTGACAAGAATTGAGCTACAAGCCAGGCTCTTGCTAACTTCAACATACGGAATACGTGCCTGTAAATGACATCATTAGACTGTGTAATTCAAGGTGCTTCATATACCTTTCCTGAGACATGAAGAAAACATGAGGTGCGAACAGAATACAACGCTGAAGAAATCAACAAAACTATGAAGCTTTAATTCAGGAACGAAACAGAAGGATGCGCAGCAGGTCTGTGCAGAGGCTTTGGGTGGCGTAGCCAACGCTGCCGAGCAGAATGAAGCAACAGTTTTACGTGCGTTAATACTACCCTGGCTCTATAGGATTGTAAGATAGCCAACAGAAGAGTTAAAGAATTAAGTCATGTTTCCTTGTGAGGCTCCATTAAGCAATAAATGTGAGTCTTGTGTAAAAGGATTTTTAGTTCATCGTTACAAGTGCTGGTAATGAAGAGGATGCATGCTAGAAATGTCAGATGATCCATAAAGAACCACTGCTGCAAGATTTATCACTCTCACAACACACTGCTCCATCACTGCACCTGAATAATGAATGCTTTTTACATTTACATTTGTGTACAAAACCCATTTGCACAACAGAGAAATAACTCTGGAAGCCGAGAGAGATTCTTCCTAATCTCTCAGCCAGGCCCTGGCTGGGCTGCCGGCACTATATGGCTGCGCAGTTAACAAATACATCAGCGCTAACCAATGCATCACTGCTACCTCACCTTCCCCCGTACCACACTCCCAACTCTCGTCCAGCTGACTTCTGTACGAAAAAAGCAGCAAAAGCACAATTTATTTTGCAATAACACACTATAGTGATGGGGCATTAACTAACACTAAGATTAATTGCTCTGAGCTAATGAATCATCCATTACTAATCCCTCAGATGAGGCTACGCAACTAAATAATGAGCTGTAGCTGGACTTTTATTAAAATCTTTGCAGAGCCTCGCCTTGCAGTCATGGTCACAAAGAAATGTTTATTAATTTCTACAAGAGATTTCTTGATAGAAAAAGAGAATTATTGTAAAGAAAGACGAGTCAAATTACAGATGAACAAGTCAGCAATATGTCAGCTTCCTTCTAGTTACCATGTCCCTTCACACTCCCGCTATGCAGTACTTTCAGTAAATGAAGCTTTCGGGCAGCTTAGACCCAAGCGCCAGGTGGGTAAGGATGCTTGCCCTAGGCTCTGCCCAGGGTAAGAGCACATTCCTAGAGAGTAAAGGCAGATCTGGTCATCACAACTTGTTTGTGTGTCAAAGCACTGAGACAGTACCTCAGAAGACATCCAAATGATACAGCTTCCTGGTGCATTTGTTGGAAATAAGAGCAAGAACATCACCTCCAACCTCAGCTACTTTATGATCCTACAGAATGTTTTTCTGTCTGCTTAAAGCCTTTTTCTTTTTTTTGGCTCTTGTTCACACACACTCTCTATAGGTAAAAGACACCTACCAGTTTCCATCTCTGCTCTGGAATAGCACTGATGTCCACAGGATGACGCTCTATTACGTTGAGAAAACGGGCCTCGGGGACAGCAATAGCACAGATTATATGGATCCACCTGGAAAAAAAAGCGAAGAGAGAAATCAGAATCCGCCATTATTTGAGTTAAATACTCAAGAGGGCAGTTAACATTTCTCTGACTCCCTCAGTATCAAGGCACATTTACAGTGGTTGGCAGCCTTGGCAACATTACCAACTGATTGTTAATCACGGTCGTACAAGGTAAATGTCTCTGGAAAAACAGGGATCAACCTTTTTATGCATCTGATCTTGCACGATACTAAACATTCTCTGAAAATACTTTTCTCTGAGAATAAACCAAATTTAACAGTGTTCAGAGCCATGCTACCTCTGCTATTGAGAAGCCTCGTGCAGAGTGTAAGACAGCACAGTTATTCAAGCTCATCCTGCCAAGTTAGTGAGTAACCATTACCTCCGTAACGCCAAAACTAGTTGTCGCACCGAGCATCAAGACCAAACTCGCAACGCTAGAGCATTAGATGCAGTATGGAAGGACAAAATAGTTAAAAACATCACTTACCGCCCATCAGTGGTCATCTGAAGAGCTCCTCCCCTGAGATTACACAGGCAACATTCCTGTAGGAACACAACTCCATCAGAGCTGGACCATAAAACTCTGCCAGACCGCCTACCTTTCCCAAAAAATGACTACACCACACCTGGGATGCAAAGGCAAACTGCACCCTCCCACCACCCATCTCTGCTGAAATATCTAATTAATTCCCACAGCAAGCTTTATTTTGTCTCCCAAAGAGTAGATGCTTACCGCTGCCCATGCATTGGCTGAGCACCGTGAGCAAGACCAACTTTCATTCACCAAATCTGGACGTATTCCGTAACAGCCTGAAACAAAGAAAGTTATATCCCTCAGAGATTTGCCAACATATCTGTAGTACTGACTTGTTGACTTTTCAATTCAGAAGCATCTTTGAAATCAGGTGTAGCATTTGAATAACTATATTCAATACTCCAGGCTCAGACAAAAGTTGTAAGGAAAGTCATCCTTGGGAAGGGGGACAGAATTTGGGACCAGCAGGTCTAAAAATGAACAGAATCACCACACAGAGGTAACCCTCAACAATTTTTTTTTCTCTTTTGTAAGGACTACCGTAGCAGTACTTTGATCCTTCAGGCAAGAACAGGGCTCTAAAGTGATGCTACTACTGCTGGAATGCACTCACATCAAAACAGTTAAGAGCACAGAATTTTAGCATGATTGAAGCAGTCATCTTTGCTAAGTGGTATTATGAGAAAGGACAAAACCACTAATACTGCAAGGAAATTAAATACGTGTATTTCACATATTTAACAGTATTTAGACTAATAATTTCTGGTTATATGAAGGGTTAGAAACATCTGACTTTATAGAGCGTCAATGACCGTAATATGCAAGCACCAAATCCTCCTACATACTTCTCCGCAAAACCAAAGAAAGAAAGTGGTATTATACTCACTATAAATACAGGGAAATAACACCAAAAAAGCACTTAAAATTCCACAAAAGACAGAGAGGTTTGCCACTGAAGACAACGGGGACAAGACATACAAATACTGTTGAAAAATTGGATCTATGTGATTTCCGCAAGCTTGCAAAGAAAGCCTGTAGCAGAAAATTAAACATACCACAAATTGCTGGTCAGCATCCTAGGTAACACAAAGTTCATCCCATGGCCTTTACCTATCCTAACAAAACTGAACATAAAATTTCAGCTGGAGGGTCTCCAATTACTGAATTAAACTTAAAAGAAGTTACTCAGAAAGCACTGAGATTGCCACAATAACCTGATTTATAAAAATCTTCCACTTAACCAGATAAACATTATGTCAAAAAAAGTCGATAATATAGATCCACAGCTGTCTTCCACATCTGAAACCTCTTTTCATCATATGGCAAATCAAGAAAGCAGATTCAGCCCAGTCCTAGAAAATGAGCAGGGGTCTTGTGTCTAAAAAACTGATCTGGAAACTGAGATGAAAGAAGAACAGACACCCGTAACTGAAATAGTGCTGGAGCTCGAAATGGCGTAGAACGGGCTGAAATTTCAGCATTGATTTCTTGCTCCAGGACCACAGGTAGCCAGACTATGGGATCTGAGGGGAGAAACAGTCACGCTTACTGAACACCAGATTGTCCCATTAACAACGATCCTAACGGAACAAGAAAAGAATGCTCTTTTTATGGATTTTGTCAACCCCTTAAAAGCCCAGAAACCTTCGCAAAAGCTTTCTTCTCCGTACGTACTTGCTGTTGTCATAACCTGGCACAGCTGGGTGAGGGCACTTCTCAATAACAAGTAGGCTGCCAACTGGTTTTACAGCAAGCTGCCAGATTAACCAAAATACACCTCAACACTGCAATCCTATAATAAAAGCAAATGGATTCTCTGCAGCAAAGTCAAAGGGATATCACAGTCTAGAAGTACAAACAGCGACAAGGAAACAAGACACTGGAGACCACATCACACTAGATCTAACTTCTGTCCTATCCTCAAGGGTAGAGCTCAGCCGGAACAGAAAGCTGAATTTCTCTACACCCTGAGACTGCAGATTAACTTTGCCCACATCCCTCTGACCCTAAATAGAATTTGGCCACTGAAACCATTTTGACAGACTAGTCTATTGAAGACATATGGATGTACAAGGTGCAGCCTCTCTGTTCTGATCGCTAGAGACTGCAGTTGGTGAAGTAAGAAAGCAGTCTTTATCCTCACGCTCACTCTGCATCATTGCTCTTATTAGCCAGAAGTGGCCATAATCACGGATGCAGTACAGAAATAAAAGTTGCATTCTAGTTGTCCACAAGAGACAGTCATGCTGAGCTGCACGGTGGCCTGCAGACTTTAAAATTGGAACAACAAAAGTAATTCCAGCTGATGCAAGTCAAATAAGTTTTCCCATCTGTCAAGATCAAACAGCTGAACACTAATTTGTCACATCTCCTAGTACGAGTGCAAATGTTAACTGGATCTCATACAATCTACAGTGAAGGTACACTCTACCAGGATTAATCAGATCTTCTTTTAGACATAACTATCGGGGAAACAAACAGACATATGTTCCTTTTTGTAATCAAGTGCCCTTCCTACAAACAGTAACACAGACACTAATAAAATATATCCCAGAAACTACTCCATCATCTCTGATGCACACAAGAACAGTACCTCACCCGGCAGACCAATATTTGAACAAGCGAGAAGAATGCAATCAGCTTCGTGATTTCTGCTTTATTACAAAAAATGAAAGATAACGAAGAGTCTTCTCTGCGAGACAGAGAAGAATCAGCCAACAAAACAAACAGTAAAAAGAATATCTGTGTGTATTTTTAAGATCTGCCAAGAGGGACTCAAATATACACACATACTAGTACCAGAAAAGGCAGTGGGAGTGCCAGGTATAGCAAGCATGCCCAGAAGGAATTCAAATATAGGCAACATACGAAGAGACCGTGGGTTTCTCAATACCCAAAATGCTTTGGTGAAGAAGGGAACACTCACTAGCATGAACCTGCAGGCAGCATTTGGCACAGGATATCAAGGGACTGGTTCCATCCTCTCCGATATATGAATTTGAAGGAAGGGGCTCTGTGTTTTCTCCACTTGAGGTAAAGCACATCTCCGGGATCAGAGGCTTGGTCTTCTGTCCGCACTTAGAAAGGTGGACGAAAGAGGTGGTCTCCCCTACAGAGACTGGGACAGCTTCTTTATCCATCTGTAAGGACTTAAAGAGAAAATATCCTCATATGGAATCGCCTCTTTCCTGGTCACAATTTTAACCTTAAAGTCAGAGCACTCCCCGCGCAAAAAAAAAGTCATCCAACACCTGACGCCATGCAGCACAAATAACGAACTTTAAATCCTGTCTTCTCATGCACACCCCCACCCCTGCCTTTTGCTCCTCTCTCTCTTCCTTAGGCCTGTACCGGGATCTGTAATTTATTCTGAAAGCTCAAAGAATCATTAGAATAATGAGAAGCGTTCCCTGTTTTTCTTCTGTAAAAATCTAAATTCCTAAATTGCAGTTGAAAACACCAAATGGGGGGGGGAGAAAATATTAATAAAAGCAAGACCTTCCCTCCCCCTCTCCCATCCTTTTGGCATCCTTCCCTACTCTTTCTGCAAGAATTTCTCCAGAAGGACATTTCAAGGTTTCTGGTAGCAGACCAGAGTTAAAAACAATGGAATAAAACAGCCCAGCTGTACCCAGTTTTCCTTACAACCATTATACAACAGCATCCAGCAATCAGAACAGATATTTTCTTTTCAGGCTGTATAATAAATCAAGAGATTTTATTGAAGGGGGAGGTGGGCTCTGCTTTGCTCAGAAAAAGCTTCCAACACATATATATGCATCTAAGGCACATATTCCTAGTGGACACACAAAGCCAGATTTGGCTCTATAAGCATCCAAGAACAAATCAATACACAACTGGGCAAATAACTAATTCATCTGATATGAGCTGAAAGGCAAAATATAACATATCCCAAAGCATATTGGAAGTTTCCAAAAAATGATGTATGTGCTTACTCAGTAAATTTTTATTTTGCTGCTTGTTTGCATATATTCAGAAGCCCAGGCCCACCCCTAAACAAGAGCGATCACATGCCCAATATGGCACTGTGTCTCTGTACGAAATAGCATTTGCAGTTAAAGCTCTTTATGCATGTATTAAAAATGAAAGCTGAGAAAGCCAGAGAAGCCAGGAAAGATAACAAAAAAGGCTCCATCCCCTGCCTCTGCCAAATCCAAACACGCTTTGGTGTGCAAATTTGTATGAGCCTTCTTTCTTCACAATAAAGGTCTGCATCATAACTTACACAGTAGCCACACTCAGCACCCACCACTGCCACGTCCGCCTACGCGGTGTCGGGAATTACCTGGTTATACGGGTAAAAGAGGGTACAGACGGCACAGTATGGCTCGCTCAGGGCAGCAGCTGCGTTGAATTTTCTTTCAGCTGGGAAATTATGTGCTTTATTCTTCCACTGGAGGGAAAGCAAAGATTTCAAAGCCTCTGGGTCATTCATATCTTCCTCCCCAGAAAATGGAAACGTTTCTAGAAAGAAAAAAAATCCCCAAAGAATTGACAGTCAGTAGAGGCAAAACGCAGCAAGGTAGGGTTAAACTGCTAATGTTTCAACGGCACAACATTCAATTCATCCATGGTTCCTCATGCGCGTATGTCTCAAACACTGCCTTAAATGGAGATAACCTCCACTTTACGGGTAGGATAGACACGATGGAGACAGCGAGGACCTAACGGGACCGGCCATGAGGAAGAAGAAAGAAGAGAATCTAGATTTACTGCCTTCATAACTCTCCCCACTTTCTAGCTGTGGAAACCTGCAACATCCCTTTAATGAAGCCAAGTTCAAAATGCGTGACGAAAGGGCAAGGAAATCCCCCTTTCCCTTCTCCAACCGGAGCCGCATTCTCCGCAAGACAGACGCGCAGGCAGCTCGTGCTGGTTTGCTTAGGCCAGCTCCCAGTTCCCACCGGGCAGCAGCACGCCTGTTTCATCCTTCCCAAAACGCATCCCATACCTGTTCCTGCAAACGCAACGCTTGGCCATGAGACACCCTGCGTCCAGGGTTTCATTTTACTGCTCTGCAGCTGCTTCACAGCTGCTTCCATCAAGCGCACACCCCTAAGCCTGCAATTCGCATTCACCACCACCTCCTGCTCTGCCGGGGCCCTGATAGGTGCTGCTTGTGCTAATTAGTTTGCTAATTCTTTGTTCTTAAAAAACCTTTAAAAGGCCCTTGGCATTTTATGATTAAACCACCGCAGAATCCGTTTGTGTCAGTTTGGGGGTCCAAGTTTCTTACCGTTCCTTATTAAAGACTTTTGAGTCGCTCTAAGTGTTAAAGAAATTTTCCACACAAGACTAAGTGTAAATCACTCACTGCGTCGTCCATCCGCAAAGTTTCCAGAACAGCTTTGGCCGGAGGAACTCAAAGACATATTAGTGGAACATTATCCCCAGAGCTCAGCACATTAAACCAAATTGTTCACTGCTTCACTGTTAATTATTGGAAATATGCAGTTAACGTTCTGCTCTCAACAAGCCTAAGCCTCCTCCACATTTCTACCTCCCTTTTAAGATTTTCAGACTCTTATGTTACCAGAAAGGATAAGAGGAACTTGTAATAAAACTCTAATGGCTACATTTACATCTCAGATTTTAAATGTTCCCCCCAACTAATCTGATCTATATTTGCCAGACAATGCGGGAAATTTTATCGTGTGTAATTAATCGATCTTTTTTGAGATGACGAACACTGTCTGTGTGTGTCTGTCATGCTTCAAATGATGGTTACTTCCTAAAACGTGTCTTTGTTTTCTTACTATATTTTTATTTTTATCTTGGATTGGAACTGGTACCCATAGGCTAACAATAACTGCTAATACCATCGCCTTTCCCGCAACGCTGCCCAGGACTGTGCTGGAAAGGGGGACAAACAGGAGCAGCCTTGCCAGCGGGCGAGTTGGGCTTTCCCGCCTCGAGCACGGTGCTGCTCGTGCCAGGAGGTGACCGCCGGTTCAGCGTGCCAGGCCGGAGCCGGCCCTCGCAACGACAGATCTACAAGGACGTGCTCTACCGTCCCGGCTGCAGCTACACGTGCTCACGTGTCCACACCTCCTGCAAGGCACAGACAAAATTTAAAAAGACCAGTGACCTCGGGTATGCAGATTGATACTTTCAAGATGTCTTAACTTTCAAAGCCAAGCTCGCCACTCAGCTTTTGAGGAAATCAAGCACCTTTAATGACATTTTAAGACATGAGCCAAAAACCAAACCACATGTTTCTCCAAATTTTAGTCAAAGCACGTCAGGAGACAGGCAAGGATTTATGATACCAGTGAAATCAATGAAACCGGCATCGTAATCCAGAGTGACAGACTGAGAAAAAAGGAAATGACTGTTGTATGTTGTCATCACCTTCACTCATCCCAGGATGGATTCTAGGTGAGACACAGCGTTCAGGATGGCTCCTACGTTTCAAGCAAGTTATACGCAAGTAGAAAAGGCCAACGATCTGTCTCAACTGAATCTTAGTGTAGTATACGCATTCTTTTAATTTACGTGCTCACTCTTCCTCACCGCAGCCTCCAGATCATCCTTACACATTAGCCCTGAAAAAGCCAGGAGTGCAGAGAGCTGCTTCTATTCCCGGGCGGGGAGGAGAAGAATCTGTTTGATCAGATTTTGCCCAATAGCGCTGTAAATCAGTCCCCCAGAAACGCCAGCTTTCACAGAAAACCGCTCCTGAGTCAGCCAGCAAAGTCCCCGTACACCATCCAAAACGTCGAAACAGCGAAAAGAATCTGTCTAATGAGGATCCTTCAGCACAAAGTTTGTTGCAAGGTCTCACACCAAAACAAGGTAACTAGTCCCAGCTGCCTTTCAACACTTCACGCCGCGTTACACGTACGCAAGACATCGAATGCATCACCCTTGGTAAGGGAATGGAGCTACGTATGTACAGAATATCCCCCTCCTACACAGTTTCTCTAAAATCAATGGATATATTCTCTGAAGGATCAACAGGAAAGATGCTGTCCTTTTGAATATAAAGTTGTAAGTACCTTGAAAGCAGGGACTGCCAACTACACCTTTGCGTACTCGCCCCAGCATGCAAAAGCTTCTTACTGTGGACTTTTCTATATTCCGAGTACTTTATAATGTGGGCAAGACCCAGAAGTGGTAAATTACACCACTCGAGAAGTGAGAGGTAAGAGTCTTTTTTTTTTTTTTTTTCCTTGGGCCAGAGTGTTATGGCATTCACAGTGACTGGAATGTGGGAAAAGAAAAATCAGTGATGTACAGTTAAGCACTGAGAGACTTTCTAATTCTCATTTCTGGATCTGCCAAGAAAAGTTGGACCCCAACATTTACATGAATTGAAAAGCCAACCAAAAAGTTAGAAATAACTTTCCCCACACACTTAACAGCAGATCTAACCCCCACCACCCTCCAAGGTGAACAGATCTCATTTTAATGCAGTATCTAAGAAGGAGCTTTTACTTTAACATGTTATTTGCTGTGAACTGTTTTTTTTTCCCTTTGCCCAAAATGCTGCCTTGCTCTGCAGCCAGCAAAGTATTTTTCTTGACAGAAAAAAGGGTGGGAGGTGAGAAGGGACACCTCCCACACAAATTTTGTTTCCAGCTGGGTTATCAAAATGGGAACACGCCGCATTTTCTATCAGTTAAGTGTAACACAATAAGTTTGAGGCCATCCAGTTACATTAACGGCTTCAGTGATTTTTCAGATCAGACAAGACACACGAGCGTTCTTAATGCTAGTGCACTCACCCTCATCACTCGAGGTCTCCTGTTTAACCACCGACAGTGGGGAGCGGGTTGGTGGTTTGCCCAGTGGATGACGACGACTCTTTTTTATCTCCATCTTAATTTTTGAAAAAGCAGAAGCAGTCTGTAACAAACCAGAACAAGATGGGAACTCCAAAATATATAGGTAAGCAAAGGAGAGTACAGGACAAGGGAGGCAGAATCCTTGTCATAAAGAGTTCTTGAATTTACAGAGCAAACTTTTCACTGCCTTTTGGCTGCAATCAATTAAGCCTCCCAAGCCAATTACTGTAGCAGACAGAGCCAATGCTATCTCTCAAGGTGTCGGGTAAAGGTAAACTACAGTGTTTTCTTAAAATCAGAACAGCCCAGAACAGCTTCAAGTCTGCCATTTCCAATAGCTTAGTCTGGTCAATCACATAAACAGCGAGGAACTCTAGCACAAAAATTACGTACAGAGCATGTAGGACCAGAAACATTTTACTAGAACATTCCAGCGCGTTTCACGACAAGTATATTTATATTGTACGGTACCCACCGCCCTGTGTACCATCCAACACTGTAAATACCGCGTGCATCCTAATCTCAGGGGCTCACTGTCCGCTTTGGTGATGGGCACTGAACGCATTACAGGCGAGTGAGTTTGCACCAGAAATCAACAGTACCACGGGCTTTGGTTCACCAACGTGGAGACAAGCAGCAGTGCTACAGCATGGAGAATGAAATCCAGGTACGCTCCGTGTTACACAGGACTGAGCAGAGATGAAGGTACCTACAGCAGCCCATCATAGCATAGCATAGGGGGCTTTTCCTCCCTAGTCTGCAGCCATTATCTTAGAAAAATTTACATGAAAGGTATGCTAATTGTGCCACGCCGGTATGGCAACGCACAGTTCCCCCCATCCCCACAACTTTTAATAGCGCTTTGCCATTCCTTGGCTCTTTCAGCAGCATCATGCAGGAAAACAGAGCTACATAATACTGCTCCGACTTGCTGCTAATTCCTGAACATTTTCCTCCTTCGTCTTTTGGCAACTGTCCTCGGGAAAGCGCTCTCTAAAGAAAAGAGATGCCTGTGACAGATTGCGTGCCATGAATTGTATTGTCCACGAAAAGGTTTTCTGCCAACTTTTCCAATTCTAAATCTCATGATGGAAAAGATCCCTAGGCAATGCTGTACAGCAGGCCAACACCTGGAAGCGTAAAGCACATGCTATCAAGCTGGAGAAGTCAGAAACAAGGGGGAAGAATTATCGAAATGTTGGTGTGACCAAGTTGCCCTTGGGACTGTTTGATTTTACCACTCTCAGAATAGTTGCTCTGCAGCAGCCATTTGCTTTTGCTGGGTCTTCCTGCCTAGTGCCTGGGATGATCATTTCAGTACTATCTGTACTATTAGTAGCAGGAAAAGAGATTCTCTATTTTATCTTTTGAAGACAACAACAAGTTCGATTAATCAGCTAGCATCAATGCAATGATGGACTGAACTGTGAGAAAATAATCACCCTCTTCCTGTACAGGCACTGTGGCTCTCCAGCATGGCACCATTCCACTGGAGGCTCAGGCACAATTCAGCACTCCTCTCATTCCAAGTTCAGACTTCAGCTCGTTGCTTAAAACTAGCAAATCTTAGAGTCACCTCCTTGGTCATGCATACCTGTAAATCACTGACCTCTGCAGCGACCTCTGTATGTTCTGCTTCTGCATTCTCCTCCTCCTTCACAGGGATGTCCATGGGGACCGTCTGCTCCTGCCAACTTGGACTCTTTTGCGTGGCAAACTGCTCAAACGCCTGCTGGCAGGACATGCGCTCCTTGTCAAACACCACCTTTTTGGTCCGTGGAACCACATAAAGCATGGGAATGATCGGCCGAGGTTTAAAGTCATCTTCCTCAGCTGGTGCCTCCGAGGGCTGGATAATGTTCAGGGGAGCCGAGGGCAGGCTCTTTTCTGCTGCGGACGACGCAGGCACTGCTGGGGGTACCGGTGGCCGTGCTGCTGGCGCCTCGTCCTCTGCCGGCGGCTGCTGCGGCGCGG